GCCTAAATGACTGGCCACGTACTCCGTGACCAGTTATTTGAGGCTCTTTAATGATGGTAACCGCCGATTCTCCCATGGGGGCCGTTTGCCAAATTTCATACATCAAAATAAAATTTAACTATATCCGATATGGTACTACGGACCCCAATACACACACAATAAGTCCCTATTCATATCTGTAAGTTTAGGTGCAATTAGGGATTCCTGCGTCAGGAACTTGCGTTTTTCTGCAGCAGGAATGCCTAATCTCATGTTTAAAAGAGACAGCTGTAGGGCACGGTCTCACAAACATCGACGCTATGGGAGGCCCATAAGGCCACGATTAGGGGCCATTGCATTGCATTAGCGTCTAAACTTAAAAAAGATAGGCAGGCCATCTAGTACAATTAGAACGCTTAGCATTGGCACCTTCCAAAAATCTCCTCCGTGCACTGATCAAGACTAGAACTCGGTTACGTCACCTAATGACCCATAAGGTGGAGATGTCTATGACATATTTGAGGCAGAGGTATTATGAAAGGGGAGACAAGCCACATACCCTGTTGGCCCGTAGGCTGCGTGAAGAGGCCAGTAGCAGGGGGCTGACGGCAATTAGAGACGCGGGCGGCACCTTACAATACCACCCAGATGTAATCGCTAGAGTATTTAGAGAATACTATAACGATCTCTATAATTTAACGGGCCCAGCTTTTACATCAACTGACATCCCATGTACAGAATTACCTGGCGGAGTGGGATACGCCGGAACTTACAAACGAGGCATTGGGTGCCTTAAATGCGGACATTACTCCAGAAGAACTTCAAAATATTATTCGAGCCCTCCCTACAGGGAAATCACCAGGCCCAGACGGTTTCTCATACTCATACTATAAGACGTTCACAGATGCCCTTCTCTCACATATGGCGGATACGTTTAACGGTTTTCTTCATGGAGAGGCAATACCATCGTCGTTTTTGTCATCCCACATAACAGTGTTTCCCAAGCCAGACAAAGATCGTAAACTATGTACGAACTATAGACCCATTGCTCTCCTCAACTCGGACTAAGATTTTTACGAAAACCTTAGCGAACCGCTTAGCTCGGCTGCTACCGGCACTTATTCATAACGACCAAGTAGGCTTTGTGCTAAACCGTCAAGCAGGGGATAATACCCGCAGATTAGTAGACCTGGTAGATATCATCAACAAAGAAAAGCTTGGAGGCAGTGTTAATTAGTCTAGACGCCGAAAAAGCTTTTGATAGACTCAGTTGGCCATTCCTACACGCAACTTTGTCACACATAGGGATTAGAAGCCCCTTTGCCCGAGCAGTTCAAGCTCTATATTCCACTCCGTCAGCGTCCATAAAATTGCGCACAGCAACCGCTATACCCTTCCAGATACGCAATGGTACCAGACAGGGGTGCCCTCTGTCCCCCCTTTTATACGCTCTCTGCATTGAACCCCTTGCAGCGCGCATTACGCAAGTCCCCTGATATTGCAGGAATACCAATAGGATCACAACAATTTAAACAGGCTTTATTTGCGGATGATGTCATACTCTCTATAACATCCCCACAAAAGTCTCTGTCATATTTAAAGGAAGAACTCCATAGATACTCCATGGTCTCTGGATATAAACTAAACCTGGGTAAAACAGAAGGGCTCCCACTTAATGTAACCCCCGCCACCTTAACCTCATTGCAAAACCTTGTTCCCTTCCAGTTGGAAAAGTGATAAAATTAAATATTTGGGTATTTTTATTATAAATAATGTACACTCCCTATATGCGGCCAATTATAAGCCACTGTTTCAGTCATTACGATTTCAACTGCAGAGGTGGAGGTCATTGAGACTGTCATTTACAGGAAGATTAACTTCAATTAAGATGACAACCGCCCCCCCCCCACGGGGGGGGGGGGTCAGGCACTGCCACATTTTTTTCCACTATTATCAGGCAGCCCAATTAAGAGTAGTCCCGACGCTCTCAAGGTTTGATCCCCCCCACGGGCTGGGCAAGGATAGAGGGTTTGTAGCTATCGCCAATTCACCCCAATGCACTTTTATGGTCCAACCCGGTGCAAGTATCCAGGGATATTCTGCTCTCCTCCACAAGGCTTACGCTAGAAATATGGAATAAGGTTAAAATTACTAGAGTTCTGGCGACGGCTGGATCATCATTGACTTCCTTTCTGCTGAATCCTAGGCTACAGTCAGGCATCTCTAGGGAGTGGGTAGAGATGTGGCAACCCAGAGGCATGTTCCACCTCAGAGACCTACTGGACAGAGTTACTAACAGGCTACAGTCATTTTAACAACTTAAAGAGAAGCATAACCTCCCTACCAGAGCTATTTACTCGTATTTGCAAATTAAACACTTTGCCCAATCTCAAAAAACTTGATCTTGCCCTTCCGCACACCATTTGAAACACAATGTTTGGCACCCCACTCCTCCAGGGGCATGATTTCCTTTCTCTACAGCATTTTAAACGAAGACCCAGTAGCGGGCACGGTTGACTTGCCCTATATGCGGAAGTGGGAAGGTGCCCTGGAAACTACGATCTCACCCAAACAATGGGAAAGCTAATGGAGAATGGAAGCAAAGTCATCAATTTGCTCGATTTATAGAGAAAACCAGTACAAAATAATGTACCATTGGTATCATACACCAGACTTTCTCCATACGCTTAACCCAAAGCTCTCCCCGAACTGTTGGAGAGGCAATGGTGCCAGAAGCACCTTATTCCATATATTCTGGGCTTGCCCGAAACTACTGCCCTATTGGGGGGAGGTCAAACATACCCTGGAGCAGTTGGTGGGGCGAACGCTTTCCAACCACCCCATACACTACTTACTAGGCTTGCCCTTCCCTGGACTCTCTAGGATTGATAGAAAGCTAGTCATGCATATCCTCACAGCAGCTCGCTGTCTTATTCCACTACAATGGAAACGGAATTACCCACCTTCTAGACTAGAACTATTTGCTAGAATCAAGGACGTCCAGGTGATGGAGTATTTAACAGCTAGGCTGAACAATACAATTGGGACACATGAGGAGGTATGGAAAGCGTGGCATGCCTACGAAGTGAACACAGACTGAAGGAGAGGAAGTGGCTGATTGGAGACAGAGGTATGGATTCAGTTAGGGACTACTCAGGAGGGGAGGGATGCGGAGGACAAAGGCTTGGATGGAGACCTGGTTCATGATGTACATTTAGATTGTCATCCTGGAAGAAGCTCGTATACACTTTCCTTTCTTTATTCTTGCTAAGTTATGTATGTATTAAATAAAAGTTAAAACGCTTCAAGATAAAAGGTTATCCGCAAGCCATAGAGCTACGTAAATAGAGAAATGCTGGAAAGATTGAAACATAGTCCATACAGTAATGACAAGGTTTAAAACTATAAGAATGTTATGATGTAAAAAAAAGCGACTACCCCATTTTTGTGCTTAGCATGGAAACAGCCCTCTGATATACTGCGGGACCTTCTACATAGACTAGGCCTCCGCCCGACCTCGCGTTGTTTCAAGCGATGCGTGCGGGAGGCCGACTTCCTGCACTGTTTTTGGTCATGCCCTATCATCAGAGCCTTTTGGTCGGAGGTCACTTCCTTCATGGAAACCGGCCTCGGCTTCCCTAATATTTGTAACCCCGCGTTCTGCCTCTTGGGTCTATTTGGGGAACTGACATTGGCCTCAAGAACTCAGACACTCCTCCGCCTCCTTTTATTCTATGCCAGGAAGACCATCCTCCTGGTCTGGGGTAGCCCGACTGCTCCCTCCCTGAGCGGGTGGAAAAGACTAGTTGATCAGGCATTGCCCGTCTACAAACTCACGTACGAGCAGAGGGGCAACCCGGCACGTTTTGGGCGTATCTGGGATCTATGGCTGTCCTCTAGCACATCTGTAGAGATGGGGTGACATACTGAATACACTCTCATTCTTTAGCCTACAGACCTCATTACTAGTCCTCTGAAGCCCTGATGTATTTTGTACCGTATTGACAACATGTGGCTGAGTCCAACTCCCTATGTACATACTCTGTGTTGGACTACCACGTATTGAATCTTGTAACCAAATACTTGTGTAGCCTTGTAATCTTATGTTTTTCTGATCTGTGAAGAGGATGTAGATACTGCATAATTGTCTGGGTTATGTTGACCCGAGTGCTGTATGTATGAAAATTGTTTGTTTGTTATTTTGTTGTGTCTCTGACACTTGGAAAACTCAATAAAAAGCATCTTTAAAAAAAAATTAAAAAAAATATATATATATATTTTACTATCAACAGGTTCTGAATGGGGAGAAGCACTTCTTGTTCATTCATAACTGGGGACACAGTACTGTGTGTCCCCAGTTATTTACAAACATTGAGGTGATAAGATTATCGCTCGAGTGTTTGCTCTGCACACAAAGGATCGTTAAATATCACAGATATTTACCGATCCTCCGCTCGGCCACACACAGAGCCGCTGTCATCCTGAAACTAGCAGGATGACAGCGTCTCATGCTGCTCGATCACCGTGATCGAGCAGCTCCCTCCTCCACTAACCCCCCCCACGGCCGGTCATTTCTCCTCGGATACCTGCTGCCTCATCCCATAGAAGCGACGGAGAGCAGCGGGGATCCATGGAGAAACAGATCCCTGTCTGGAGGGCAGAGATGCTGCAGATGCCAGTGTGTGACAGCTATTAATTTAAAAAGGGGATAGTCAGGGGAACCGTTCTAATACATGTTCATGGTCGCTAAAGCAGAACGGTAAATGCCACCAACATAAGGCATACTGACGTGGCAGGCTGGAAACATTTTTGTTCCGCCATATGTGTCTGTGGCAGGGAAAGCG